CATTGGCACCCCTACTCCATCAAGATGTGCCCTGGGATCTTTAACCAACAAGTAGTCTGGACCTTGGTTTAACATTTCATCTGAAGGACAGCCCCAGCAACAGCCCCATGTCCCTTGTCACTCATGACTCCTGTTGTCTGATTTCTTAAACTCATCTAAATATGTATGATTGTTCAATTCCCATAATTCAAAACTGCAGATTTTTTTTGAACCCTCCCCCCCCATTTTAAAAGCATCTGTTACTGCCAGAACAGTTATTAAAAACAATGTTTAAAGAGCTGTGGAAAATAGGACCTGCCCTCCATGGAAAAACAACTTTATCTTCGATTTCTATTTGTCTGTCGCATGAGATTAAACAGACATTTTAATTCTGTTGCGTTTAGTCTTTGCCGAAAAGGTAAAGACTGAAGCATTGAGTAGCTCTGCATCGAGTGAGAGATTGTCCAGAAGTGTTCGCTCGCTCTGTAAATGATGAGGAAAGAAACAGACAGTTGCTGGTAGATAAGTCTTTCTCGTTTTTCCACCAGAATCTGCCAAGGAATCTGAAGATTGCTTATAAAGCACTAATCTCAGTTGCTAAATATGTGCCATATCCACACCTGTTTGGTCTTTATTTACATTCCAGTCCTGTTTTTGATGTTCAGAATCATTATCCTTTTTGTGTGCAGAGAGCACGTTATAAACAGAGTTGCCAGTGTGCTGCCCCAGAGAACATTAAACACAGTCAATTAAGGGAGAGAAATAAGCACTGAAACTCTTTTAGCAGGATGTGTGGCTGATGAAAATGTCTCATACAGACAGATGGCATCCCTCACATGTTCTGCTGTGTCTGGCTGATAGAAATACAGAGTATGAACATGGAATCTGTCTCTTAATATTAATGGGACATGTGTGCTGAAGATTGCATAGGTCCCAACTTTGAACAGAACAAGAAAATATATCCTTCTGTGGACTCTAAAAACTAACCAAAACCCCAAAAAACAATTTAATATTGTTCCATACCTTAATTCAGGGGTCTCCTGGAGAGTTCCAGTCCAGCTGTTTTGTATGTTACTATTAAGTCATTTTCTAAATTAGTCTCTAAAGATAATGGAACAATTCCATTGTGCTCAGTTAAACAGGTAATTTGTTAAATTAAGTAAATTAGAGATGATTTAGGACTAAAATCTAAGAACTCTTCAGCCTTTTAGGATGAGGATCCTCTTAATTGAACCAATGACATGGTTACTCTTTTTTGTAGTTTTGGTAACTAAGATCTTTTGGGGAAAAAAAAAAGTCTGTCTTTTCAAGAACCTGAAGCTGAACTCTGCAACAGCAGGGCCGTAACTCATTGAAAAGGCAGCTGCTGCTGTCATTTCTTTGCCTAACCTTCATTGGGCTTCCATTAGGCTCACCGTTGTGGAGTCTTGTAAACCTCGGACATTCTGAAGGTTGCAGCGGTATTTAAAAATCCCCACCCATCAGTAAATCCTTCACCAATGGACGTGCAGACTCGGCTTCGAGCTCAGCTCCTGGAGACCCCAGCCTCTTCTGAATTCTGTTCTTTCCACTCTCTCCATTACATACAGTAATTGGTCTAATTGTGTAATTGTCCACGGAATTGTAATACTTCTCACCAGGCCTTGGTGTTGTATAGGTGACTTTAGTAAAGCAGATGTTTGGAGCCAACAACAATGAAGGCAAATTTCTATACACGCCTCAGAACCTAATTAATTGTTTAATTGACTGCACAGGCTAGGACAAAATCCAGGAGATATTAAAGCCTCCAGAGTTTGAGATCTTTGGCCCAGGAACTGCTGCATTTGCAACAGGGCATTGTTTACTATTGACTGGGTGTAGATTTCTCTGATTCATATGGTAACAAGAGATTTTTCAAGAACATGCCTTGAAGATCTACAGGAAGGAAGGAACAGGTGTGGCAGTGTTAAACATCATGTAAACACCAATTGCCAGACATGCTCAGATTGGAAATACCCATTGTAGATGAAAAATGAAAGCACATTGTTTTAATTCTTGCCGACAACTAGGGGAAATACATTATCTGAGCAAATGAAACATTTGTCTATGATGCGTTACTGGCTTTTGTAGCATACTACTGAAGTCTTTCCACAAAAGATTTAGAGAAAGTTGTAATCACTTTTGACAATATATTGAGATTTAACTGTATTGAGATTGACAATATGTTGATATTCCTTTTATTGACAGAGCTACGGAAACTTCCAGATGAAACGGATCCATGTTCCTAACTCTCCTCCCTTGCTTATTTTTCAGCAAAGGAGCAGTTGTGGTGGCTGAGGGCTCTTGTAAAATCCCTCAGACGCTTTCTCAGGAGCTGGGGCTTTGCTCCAGTCCGTTTCAGAACTGGGGTGCAAATATCGAACTAGTCCAGATTCTCACAGTCTCCGTTGTGGCGTTACTTTGCAGTTTGCAGCAAACTCTCTGCATGTAGCATAAACAAATCCTTAGTCTTGCTTCTCTTTAAGGTAATGTTTTGCCTAACGAACCGGGGGTGGTTAAGATAAGCAAGCACATGTGCTGAAACATATTGCAGATCACTTTTCCTTGCAGTATGCTATAAAATCATTTCAGAGTGTAATGAAACTTTTACATGCAGTTTGCCTTCTCATGTTTTACAACCCGGTCAGTGCCCAACAGTCTTAAAATTCACTGCTGACTCATGAGTTTATTTTCCAATATGTCATTTTATTTTAAAAGATTTTTTTTTCCTGTGCTTGTAAGTGTGGGGGCTTTGAGATCCAGCTTAAAGTCTCTTTTTTTGTTAATGTCCTATAGAATTACTATGTTTCCTTGGATTAGCATGTTTAACTTTTACCGCAGCGCCTGCAGAAATGATCCAGAACTGCACCGCTCAGTATTTGAAGGATTTTGTACAACAAAATCGCTAAAACAATTGGGAAATTACATTGTCTCATCAGCATCAACAAAGGAAGTGCTGGTCAGCTTTTGGGGCATCATGTAACACCACCACTCACAACCCTGATGGAACTGGGGAATAAGGAGCTCATGGGCAGTCTGGGCAGCCATGTTTTGAGAATTTAGGATCACCGCCTATGTTATTTGCCCACCCAGTTTGGAATCGCCTGCTGTGAAAGCACAGACAGGCTTCCCAGCCCCACACATGCCTCAAGCTATCGATCTAGTGATTGTAGGCGTGTGATATCCCTCGCTTGCATAGCTAAATGAGGGAATGTCCTGGTTGGGTCGCCCCAGCCCTGACCAGTGAATCCAGCCCTACCACTGCTGAGCCTGAGCCTGTCCTGATCGCAGTCACAGCTGGTGAGCAATATGACCCAGACCAGAGCTCATTACGTCTGGATCTCGGGTCCCAGCCTACACTCAGGTTGAAGCCCCATTGGTTGGCAGAGATACCTGGGGAGGAAGTGATGGACATTTATCAGCATCAGACAGCGTGAAACAAGCTTGCTTTGTCAAGCAATGGGATAAGGGGACCACAACCTTGTTACCTAATTGTTAACACAGACAAACGCCAGAATGACAACAGTCCCTGCAGCCAGGAGTGTTGGAATGCAGTCCTTGGGTTGCAGAGTTGTCCAAGACCTCTGCCACCTATGATTTCTGTAGTCTGTTCATGCAGGCTTGAATGTAATTTGTCAGACAACACTTCCTTCTGCCACTGGCTGACTTCCCCTATCAGCACCCTCTTCTGTGCACAGCAGAAAGACATACTTGTGCTCTGCACAGACATGGAGCCTGTGAATACCCAGCCCTCTGCAAAAAGCTTTAAAGGATGTGTCTCATCAAGAACTGGAGGCTTCCGCTGTTCCAGTGCTTCTTTGCTTACCTTGGGTTACATGTGGCTAGGGGCTCCATCTTTTATGGCCTGGGTGTGATGAGAGATCTGCTGTTCGTAGGTGGTTTTCTGTGAACCTGAGTGAACCTGCACAGGTGGGTATATTGGTTCGGGCAGTAGATGCATTGAGAAATAAATAGTTTAATTGGTACTCTGATGATAATTGTTGAGTGGTTGGATACATTCCTCCCAGAGCTTACACAAGTCTGATAGGTGTGTCACAAATTGACTCAAACTAACAAACATTGAAGACCACAGGGATTTCTGACTAGAGTCTTCAGCGTTTTAACCTGGTTATATACAACAATAAACACATAATGAAAAATTGTTTCTCTTGTGTTTCAAGAAATTTTCAACAAATGTAATTTACAACGAGAGAACAGATGTCTTTAAAAATTGTTTGTCAGGATGCTAACCTTGAACAGGCTAGCAGCTCACATATTTGAAGAGGAAGAGCTCTTGATTTTTATAAGCCATCCACACTATGAAGAAAAAGAGAAAGCCCCATCCTGAAAGACAATAGATAATAGTTTCACAGCACACAGAAGGCTGATTTATTCAACTGACAACAGAGGTAAGTAAGTTAGACATGTAGCCTAGTCAGAATTGAAACATAACTAGATAATGTTCTCTCTCTGGGGAGGAGTAACAGAATTAGCATAGGTCTTTGCTGAACAAGCCAATTTATTTTTAAAAAATCATCTTCTTCCTTTATTTTTTAGCCCCATGGTATTTCTTGCTCATGAGTGTTCTTAAGCGAGAGCATTTATAAAATATCCGTCTTCTTGAAGTGTGATGCAGTCGCCACACTTTTTTTCTTCACGTCTTATACAGTAATTGGCATTCAGGTGCTGGGTGAATCTGGAATCTGGCCTCAGATTGCTCTGCGAAGTGGGCTGTCACGCAGCGGGGACTGTCAGCTGACTCTCTGTCACACACAACCCTCTCACGCCTTCAACTTTTGAAGTGTATGAAGCCGGAATGTGCGAAAAGCATGGTTTTAGATGTGTTCAGCTGCCTGCCCTTTTAGAGAGCACACGAGGAGCTTGTTCGGGCTCTGCCCTTGCTTGGGTGTGCTAGGCAGGCTGTTGCCAGGAGGCTGTGCTTGTGATTGGATGCTGAGTGGCTGTTGGGTAAGGCTCACAGAGTCCTCCCCCACATCCTCCTGCACACAGCGAACTGCTGCTGAGATGTCCGGATCTGCTTCAGTCAGCAGAGTGTCTCTCTCTCTCTGAAATAGCTGGAACCATTCAGCTGAAGGGGTATGATAATTGACTCCCCCTCTTTGTAAGGAACTGCTAATGATGTCAGGCAGCTTCAGTGTGCTGGAATCGCAGAGCGGAGAAAGCTGACAAGTGACCGTAAAGATGGATGCTTGAGTAAGACTTGGACTGCACAACTGCTGTTTAATTTTTTTTTCTACTTCCTTCTCCAAACTCTTAAAATCTGGATGGTATCTGGGAAAACAGTGAGACAGGTAGTGTAGCCGCTCTGTATTTCACTGCTTCTCTTTCTGCTGTGCATCTTGGTTTACACGGTTGGTACCTCAGAAATAAAGAGACTGATGCCTTGTGTTTCAGCACTTGATACACTTTGACTCTGTTTTGCATCTGAATATTTCTTGGTAGAATTTGGATCAAAACCTTCCCGTTCTCTGATTAAAGACCAGAGAATCTGCTCTTTAGTGTGCTGTAGTTTACGAGCCCAGGTTGGGCTGGGGCAGTTATACTTTCTCAGGGGTTATTCTTCCTATCAATCCAGTATTCTTAGATATCTGCTTTTATTCTGTTGTTTATCTTTGGGGAAAAAAAACACGGTTGTGCACCTTGTTGCTTTTATTTGTTTTAAAATGGTTTGATTTGTGTTTCGCACTATGTGTGGCCCAGAACGCTTAAGAGTAGTAGGTATTTTACTGGGCGTTCAGGTTTAAGAGTTTTTGGACCTGGAAATGCTGTCACAATCTGTACATCTCCCAGTCAGATTGAATTTAAATACCTGGCAATTTCAATAAGCCCTTTCCACACTCTTCTCCTCCCCTGATAAAGGGATGTTACCTGGAGTAGTTTGGGGAGTGGGTTTTGAATGTCGTGGAGCCTCCGTTGCCTGCCCCTTCACAGAGATAGATCATTATTAAAAACCCACGGTCCTCGAACCTCTGACATCTGAGGCCGATTTTCTCACAATGTTTGCTGTCCATGGGTCACGTTTGTTTTTTAGCTCCTCTTTAAGGTGCATTTTGACAACAGCGGGTTAATGCCTGCAAGACGAAAGGCTAGGGAAGGCTCTTTTAAGAAGGAAAATGTGTTCCTGTGATATTAGGAGCTCATCTAGCTGTAAGATTCTCCTTTCTTCACTGTTGCCAGTACTGAAGCCCAAGCTTAGTGTCAGCTGAGACTTGTCTTGAGGTAGGGGAATGATCGGAAACGGGTGGGTCGAGAGTCTTCCTGTGACTTTGGGGAAAATTCATTCCTTAGTATCTAGTTATATAGTACAATTTTGTACACAAACCTCTTATTTCCATTTAATGGCATAGCTCCTCCTCATTCTTCTCTCTCGTATGAAATATCCAGTTCTAACTTTCCCGAGCAGCAGTTCCAAGCGTGTGAGAGGAGCGAGGGAAGGTGACTATCATTCATCTCAGGGCCCCCGTTCCCACCTCTCCACGAGTCCAGTTTGCACCGCAGTCCGCTGCTGACTTCAGACCCGGCGTCTTCTCCTGGCCAGGCTGGCAGCCTGCTCAGAGGCCACCCAGAGAAAGGAAGAAAGAGGAAAGGGCAGCCAATAACAGATTTTTAAAAATATTCAGTCATACAAGCAAGCAAGCAAGCGCCCTCAGGTACCAGGGTGGACAGTGTCGTCTCACTCTACAGTTCCCATCCTCGGCAACAGCGAATTCAGTTGTTACCGTTTGGAAAGGTTCAGTTTGTTAAAAGTACCACAATGTCGATTGCAGGATTGTACAGCCATCCATTTTCTAACTGCTTTGTCCAATTCGGGGGGAAGCTGGAGCCTATCCTGGCGAGCAGAGAATGCAAGGCGATACATCCTGGATGGGATCCATCACAGGGCACACACAAGACACACACACGCACCAGGGTCAGCCTTACCAGAAGCCAATTAACCTCCCAGTATGTCTGTGTCCCACCTGACTCTGGGAGGAACCCCGTGGCGAACGTACAAACTCCACGCAGATAGCACCCCAGGAACTGAACCCAGCGCTGCTAACCACTGCAACACTGCGTTACCTCAGGATGAGACGGAGAGCTGCAATATCTCTTTCAGATAGGATGGTGTGTCTTAAGGGTAAAGGTCTTCAGCAGGACTGTGACATTTGGTGACCGTTATGGCAAGAAGGTAGAAGACATCACATTTCCCAAGAGTGACTTTAGAAGCTGTTCAGTAAACCACATCGCCATAGTCCAAGATGAAGCATATGGAGATTTGAGCTAGTGTATAATAGGAGAATCATGTAAAACAGTAATGGAAACGAGGTTTAGACTTGACTTTAGCTTGGAGTTATCAGAATGAGCTCGTCTTTCCTGGCTGTGTAATCACCTCCTTGGCAAACCTCCTGGTCCCCAGAAGCTCAGCGTGGCAGGGCAGAGAATCAGATGTTTTGCATATTTGACCAATCACTAAGGATTAACACACTGCTGAGTTTATTGTATTTGTAATTTTTTTTTAAAAAATGGTCTCTTAAAAAGATTAAATACTGGTTCTTCTTTCTGAAGTTTTATAATTAAAGTAGGTGTTATATGTATTATTTACACAACTCAGAAACAGTCAACACTAACCCTTTCTTTAATAACGAAAAACCACGCACAAGCTGCGCATTTTTCCAAAAACCCTTCGCAAAATATCATATTCTTTTCTGCTTACTGGTGCAGTTTGGAAATGCATTGTGGCTTGACATGGGGCTTTTTCAAATTAAACAGCATTACACTGGGCTGTAAATCATAGGGGATAAAATCAGCTTCCCAAAATAAAAACAAATTATAGACGTGATTTTTTTTAAATAGATGTGCAGTCTACTTTTAACAGTGTTTAACAGGTCGTTTTCAAGATACTTTGTGTAGTGTTTTCTTCTCGCTGGTGAAGAGAATAAAAATCCAGTGTTAGTTCTGGTGTGAGAATACTTCTTGTGGGGGAATGACTGTTAAACAACTGAGCAATTATACTCAGGACTTGTGCCATCTATGGGAAATCAGCTGCTCAATGTTCATTCTGTTTATGAAAAATCTGTATTCCTGGGGAATGCGTTATAAAGACAACCAAGATCCATTATTAAAAAAGGGATCTCATTGTAAATGGTAGAGCGTATCCAACACAGTAAATAGTTTTGATAACACAATTACCACTAATTTATTTTGTACAGTAATCGAAAGACATTGTCAAGGAAAAGTGATCCCGTTATTAAGCAGAGGATTTGTTTTGTGAAAGGATAGAAGCTTCACTCATCTAAAACTTTCTATAAAGTTTTCAAGGCAAATGGCAAGATTTAATGAACATTTAACCATTGCATTAATGTTATAAAGCTCCAAATCAGCAACACCAATACATTTACTTGTTAATTGCGAAGTGATAGTGGCTATGGACCAGAGAATTGTAGAGGTGAATTGTAGAGTGCATAGCTGTATTTTCCAGTCACACAATGCAGTTTCATCATTACAGCTCTGTGTTTTGTTCTTTGGCCTGTTCCGGTCTGAAGTGCCTCCTTACAACAGAGCGCAGAAATACATGAAAGTCAGCTTCTGCTGTGTAACCATGTGAATGTGGAGTGGAGCTGCTCTGCTAGCTCTAGGCAACCATTAACAGGCAATGTCACATAACAGGTAAACAGCGGGATTGTAATTGAAGCCCTGAAACTAGGGAATCATTCACTTCTCACACCAAAGAAGAAATGATCTTGCTATATTAGTAGATCTTTTTTTATAAAAGGGGACAAAGTCATGGCAATATGTGTTATCACACCGTACTATTTAACTGCATTGCGATTCCTAGTGGTTTATTTGTCCTTTTCTGTTGTTTGAGTGTTCATTGAGTTTGGACAAATGGCAATGTCGAGGATTTTCTCAGTCACTGTGAATCAGAGACGCATGCTTGTGCAATCAAAGTATGTTTTACTCAATGTCATAGACATATCTTTTACCTTTTGTGCAACTGCTGCCAGAGACAAATTAGGCCATGTATTGAATGTGGTTAGTGCAGGAAGAGAGGTACATGCCGAAGGGGTTGTTAATGCTTTAGATACATGGTCATGAAGAATTCAGTTGAATAACAGTAACCCTACTGCTGGTTTGCAATTTCTGATGTCTTTGCCTGCTTCAGAAGTATTGGTCTTGCATTAGGATGGCTTTGTATCTTTGACACTGTGTATACAGTTTGTGGTTGTGATTTATCAGGCTTGTCTTCAGCAGCTCAGATTTCACCGTAATGTCACTAGTGGGAGTGGGAAAATAAGGGTACCGAGGATCGAATAGTGTGGAAGAAGTATTTGCAAGTCACAGCTGACAGTACTGTTTAGAGCAAGACCAGAAGAGCCTGTTTAGGGCCTGTCAGTCCCTGGGATGTGCAGAAACATATTACATTTCTAATTGTTTATGTTGGAATTATGACAGCAGCATTACCACCTTCTAGCCTGAATGATGAGATCTTGGAAGCTAAGCAAGGCTAGGCCTAGAAAAATGGTTGCTTTGGGCCAGAATTTCCAATCTGGTGCCCCAGAAAGGCGATCAGAGATGCTGTAATGTAGGAAGTTCTAGTGTCTGGATGAGACCTTAAACTGGGGTCTTGACAGATTTACTCTGTAAAGATCCCAGTGCACTGTTTGAAATAGGTTTGAATGGGTGCTACCCTGGAGTCCTGGCTATATTCCCCTCTGGGCTCGCCTAATCTGACAACTGTGCAGTGGGGCTGGTGCAGATTGGGTGCTGCATTTAAGCAATGGATGAAGTGTTATTATTAAGACATTTGCAGAGTCACAATGCTGGTTGGATGAGATGCTTTTGTGGTTGTAATAAGGTTAAGAGCTGTCTCACGGTGTCAAGTCGGACAGTCTTTGCACTTAAACCAGTATTCCTAAATCAATTATGTAATAACTCAGGATTAAAAGATAAAATTGTTTACTTAAAACTAAATGCAAAAATGGTTCAGTAATTGAATTGTGAAGTGGGCCCCGGGTCGTGTAGAATCCAACAGGACTGTATGAGCTCAGGGGGAACAGGTTTGTGAATACCTTTGTTCTTGTTGTAACAATAGTCAGTGATGTCCAGGGAGCCACAGATCAGAAGGATGCTGGATGAGGTTTTAGACAAACAGTCTGGAACCCCCAGCCTGAAGATTCCACTGGTGGATGGGCCACCCATTCTCCCAAACTTGAGATCACGTGGTTTGCAGGACACATGACAGAAGTACATCTCTGCACAATGAGGCCCTTTGTTCTCTGTGTTCACCCCACAACTTAAGTTATATCCTCTG